GGGCATCCGTCGCTTCCCCGCGCAACGGGAACAGCCCCCGCGCCCGCGCAAAAGTCCGCCCTTCTCGGAGGGAACGGCGAGCAGGTGGCCACTCCTTTGCGTCCTCTTCCTGCCTTTAAAAAAATATTGTAACTCTTATTCTGAGCGACCCCTCCACCGCCACCCCCCCACCCGGTTCCCGGCAAAACTTGGACGTGTCCCTCACGTCAGTCGCTTCGCTGGGATCTCTGAGGAAGCCAGTGCGTGCGCGGAGGGAGGGGGCGAGGCGTGGCGTGGCAGAAGGGCAACCCCCCCTCCCAAGGGAGGCTGCTTCGGCTTCCTGCGGCGAGTTTTTTTTTGCCTCTGAGGAGGGGAGATGGGCGCCAGGGCCGGGCCGGGCATCCTAATGCCTTGGGTAGCGCTGGTGGCGTTCGGGGGCTGGGCTAGCGCGGGGTGCACGGAAGAAGGGCGCTGCTGCCCCGGCCGGGACCCGACCTGCACCAGCACGGGTTGGCGCATCGACAGAGCCTATGGCACCTGCTACTGCGACGAGGCGTGCCCGCTGACCGGCGACTGCTGTTATGACTACGCCCAAGCGTGCCCAGGTAGGACGGAGAGCGAGGAGTGGCTGCCCAGAGGTTGATAGAAGAGGAGGGACTGAATTAATTTAGAGGTGTGTAGTGATCGTTGATGATTTGAGCGGGGGGGGGGGCACTCTGCACCTGCTCAGAGGCAAAGCCCTCTGAACTCCGATGACCTCTTAACACAGTTCAGGGCTGAGCCTTGCCGATGGGTGAAGCGGAAAGTAATTGCCTTGTGGGGTAAAGCGCCGGGGAGCCGCCGTTCCGTTTACAATCATCCTATATGGAAGCCTACGGCCAACTTTTGTACTGCCAAACCTGCCAGACCAAACTTCGTTCCTTACCAACGTTTGCTTTGAAGATCTTTTGCCGCTGTTCAATTCCCGACCCTCCCGCCCCGGATCTCAAGGGATTCTGTAAGAAAAAGCATTATATAAGGCTTGGAAAAAAAACTCACTTTCCTGGTTTTTCTTTTATACGGGAAATCAAGCCGAGAGACCAATCAATGCAAGGAAGTGACTCAGGGAGGCGTTCATTGAGAATTTGTTTGTGAGCTTTCAACTCAAGAGATAGGAATATGAAATACCATTGAAAATGCAGTAACCCTTATGTTAGTATGGTTGGATTATTTGCTATCAAAGATATTTCCAGATAAATACTGGGAATTGTTGGCTCAAACAGAAAAGGCCACGGGAGTATCCAGAGCCTTGTAGGATACTCAGTGAACAGTGAAGGTGAATGAACGAAAAAGAAATGAGCAAACAAACAATATATATAAAGAAGTAATCCAATATATATCTACTATAAAAATATCAAACAGGATTAAAACCACACATTTGCTATGCACGGCTTAATAAAAGAAAACTGAGAGCTTGTATGTAAAAAATGTAACATAAACCTTACTAAATATACAAGACAAAAAAACCAAACGATACATACCAAAAAAGAGGTTGCTGGTAGAACAGAAAGCTTGTATGTAAAAAAATGTAACATAAACCTTACTAAACATGCAAGACAAAAAAACCAAAGGATACATACCAAAAAAGAGGTTGCTGGTAAAACAGAGCAAAATGACTTGGCTTCAAGAGAAAAAACATAAAGCAAGCTGAATCAAAGAAGGAGCAGGCATATCAAGGTAAAAGATGAGATACCAGCAGACACAACATACATCAACTGCTTCTGCTATCTACTAGCATCTAGTGAAAAAGTAGGTAAGGCTTTCCCTTATAGCCAGAGAAATAAAAAGACCAGGTGTATCTAGAAGAACAACAGGTGTATCTTTCCCTTATATCCAGAGAAAGAAAAAGACCAGGTGTATCTAGAAGAAGAACAGGTGTAGACATGGTAGGAAAAAAAGGAGCCAGGATATTAAAGAAAAAGGTACATACATGGATGCATTGCATTGTAAGGAAAAAAACCAACAGATATATAATTTATAGCAAATAGCTATAAAACGTCCTTTATAGCTGTTTGTTCCCCCTCCTTTTCTAACCTCTCTGCTTGAATTGTTGGAGGAAAAGTAGGGGAACATAATGAAATCCCCAAGTCCTACACACTGACTCTGCTAGATTTTAGTCAAAGCTTTTAAAACGTTACTTTTAAATACTGTATACACAGAAGCACAACATCTCAAAAACCTAAGTTTTAATTGTGATAAACTCTTATGGACAGCTGTCCACTTGATCAGTTGCCAGTGAGCTGCAGTCCATGAAAGATTATGCTGAGGAAAACATGTTAAAAGTACCACAAGACTCATTGTTGTGTTTGCTGAGACCGAGTAACATAGCTACCATCACCTCCCTTCTGCATTTTTTTAAGCATCTGGAGCCAGTTCTCTGAAACCCAGAGGACTCTTCCTTTTCAATTTGAGCACCCACCCCTTGAAATATTTTTTAAAAGGTTGCAAAAACATTGATTCATCCTTTGAATAATTTTTCACAGCTGATTAAAAAGGAGCAGGTGTATAGTGATGGATTTCAGATGTGAACTCTAGAGGCCCACAGCCCAAAGACAAATAGAAGAACACTCCTTTTTTTATTATTTAGAACAAATATTCATGATTATCATGACTTTTCTCTCTCGCAGCATGTAAGCGTAAACTTATTTGCTTCAATGGCATGGAGCTCGCCTGCTCGTCAGGCATCCTGGATGGGTGCACTGGGCTTTCTTCTGCTCTGTTTGGTACATTGTGGAATGGATTACATGGATTACTCTGCAAAGTATGGAGGAAGGCTGCAGAAGGAAGCATTCTGCCTTGGAGTGTAGAATCAATTTGATGATCACCTCCTAGCTGGTCATGGGATCATTTAAACTGGAAGTATTTAATATACAAATTAGTATGCGGAATAATTTGAAGGTGCATCAATATATTTCAAGGCAAGGAGTTTTGTCTCCTAATGCTAATGTAGGGGCATTTCCCCATCAAAACTATTTATTGAGAGAACGAGTTACTGTTTAGCTATCCCGTTACATTAATTCTTCTCTCCAAACTTCACTGCAAGCCTTTTAAATAATACTCTTCCATCCAGCCCTCTAAGTCTAGGTGAGGTAGGAGGGACCTTGAAAGAAGAAGCAGTTGTGAGGGAGAATTGATGGATGAGGAAGTTCTCAGTATCCCCTTTTTTCCTTGTCATTTCTGCTCTGCAAATGCCATCCATTAAACTCAACTCACAATTGAATATTTTGGTGAATCCTGTGTTTGTCTTACACTTTAACTATTCTTTAGCATTTGTAGCTAAGTATAGTCAGATGTGCCATCTGGTCTTATTGAAGATGTTTCTTGAAGATTCTTGCTTCAAACTCAAAGCTTAGACAATTTGCTTTTGTGAACTAGAGCTCCAAGAATTCTCCCACCAGGAAGGGAATTGTTTCCTTTTCCTTTTTTTTTTTTTTTGCTGTTTTGTCTGTTTCCATCATTGGCCACTGCTTTAAGTGCATAACACCTGCTTGATTTGAATCTTGGCTATAATTTATGGACATATGAAGAAACAAAAGAGCATAATAGGACAATGATTGTAACATGTGTATGTTGTTAATTGGGAAGTAAGTGGTGTATGGAAGTTGTAAGTTTCCTTTTCCTTTTTTTTTTTTTTTGCTGTTTTGTCTGTTTCCATCATTGGCCACTGCTTTAAGTGCATAACACCTGCTTGATTTGAATCTTGGCTATAATTTATGGACATATGAAGAAACAAAAGAGCATAATAGGACAATGATTGTAACATGTGTATGTTGTTAATTGGGAAGTAAGTGGTGTATGGAAGTTGTAAGATATTATATTATCATTATCATTATCATTATCATTATCATTATCATTATCATTATTATCTTGATAGCAAATAATGAGTTCTGATGTCGATATGATGTATTGTTTTGTGAAGTTGCATGCTATCAGTACACATAAAGCACAAGAATTTAAACAATTTCTCAAAGTAATATATCTGTGAAACATTCTATATGTGGCACATTAATAATTATAATAATACATTAATAATTATTAAATGCATATCCAAAGAGCATTAGTAATTCTTAGTAATCCTACAGACAGCTTTGTAGCCATTTAACATGCCTAGACAGTAGGAGGTAGAGGATTTTAGGATTTGTGGCAGAGACAATGATTAGCTTTGGATAAAATGTATTGCTTTGCTGTTACCTGAATATCTTTCTTTCTTATTTGCCTTTTGTAAAGTGTTAGTGTGATTGGATTGTTTAATATTTGTGTTAGATGTATAGTGTATTTATATCACTACATAAATCTTGCCTTGTACGAGTTAACTGGAAACCGTTTACTGTGTAAACTTTCCTGATTGTGTTATAAGCCATTTGAACAAAAGCAATATACAAATATACTGATGATGATATTGCCAATCAAGCCAATACAAAGGTGTTCCTCAGCACAGTGATTCCCCAACCTTGGGCCTCCAGATGTTCTTGGACTACAACTCCCAGAAGCCTTCACCACCACCTCTGCTGGCCAGGATTTCTGGGAGTTGAAGTCCAAGAACATCTGGAAGCCCAAGGTTGGGTACCACTGCCTTAGCAGACTCTTCTCCCACCAGCTGCGTGCCTAAAGGGATGAAAAGTTTCTGGAGGGTTGTTCAAGCCACCATCTATAGTGTATACTACTGCTTTCCATCATTTGATCTTCAAAGTTTTGCACTGGACTGCAGATGGAAAAATATTGCTCTCATACACAATGCAATAATGTTCTATAGAAATATGAAACATTTTACAATAAAGGGATTCCAAAGAAAGACTGTAAATTAGAGTTGGGTGGATGTTCTTTTTGGAATGAGGAGGGGAGAGGCTTTCAGTTATGAGGTGGGGCGTTTAAGGGCATTCAAGCTACATTGACAGAAAACAGGAGATGGCTTTAAAATGATTTTCATTTATTTTATCTGTTCTTCCTAGATTAAAAAAATCTGCATTCTTAGCACATATTTTTCTGATGTTCTGGTACATTATCCTTATGAGGTTATTATAACAGTAATTGCCTAGATCCTTTAATATAGCAGTTCTCAAACTTCTCTTTGCTTGCAGGCCATCTAAATATGGGTGGAATCACAGGGAACGTCTCTACTAACTTTTTACATTTATGAATCAAGGCAGATAATTCAGATTTTAATCATTATAAATTTGCCTTCCTGATGTGATTGATCTGCTTTTCTTTTAGTAAGTAATATCCTGTCAAGTGAGATATAAAGCAGGGGCATAGGCTATTACTCTATTAGCTTGCTAGATTATCTACTCGGGTAGAGCAAGAATCATCTTGACTGTTGGTCAGGATCTTGTTGGTGTTTGCATATGTTATTCTGACTAATTAATGATATTCATGGTCATACATCCAACTGCATAGGTGACATGTACCCCTGCACCTTGTCAATTCACTGTAATTAGCTGTAGCAAGTTACACTAACCATAGGCAAACATCAACAGATTCTTGCGAGGATCTGAAAAAGCCAACAGAGTATGAGACTGTCTAGGGATATTCTCAGCTGTTCTGCAGACGACATGACTGGATGTTACAGGCCACCAGGGCTTGTACATCACAATTTAAGAACTTCTACCTTAGTTCTAATTTAGCTGGATAGCTCAGTGGTTTAGGTACAGTATCTGGCTGTTGAGACAAATATTCAGTGGTTTAGGTATCTGGCTGTTGAGACAAATATTAGAAGTTCAATTCCCCGCTGGGCTTCCCAGGAGAACAGCGAGCCTGTGTGGCCTTGGGTCAGCTGCACAGTCTCAGGGCAGAAAGCTAGTGGTTTAGGTATCTGGCTGTTGAGACAAATATTAGAAGTTCAATTCCCCGCTGGGCTTCCCAGGAGAACAGCGAGCCTGTGTGGCCTTAGGTCAGCTGCACAGTCTCAGGGCAGAAAGTTGTTGTTGTTACCTTGTTACAGTATGACTGAGTTTCCTTGACACACTATGTTAGAATTTAGAGGAATTCTGATATGCATAAGCCATTAGCCTCTGCTACCAAATTATTAAACACAAAGTGACTTTGGGTCACTGTTTAGTGTGATGCTCAAACTAAGCAGGAGTTGTCTCTCTGTCTTATGTCTTCCACCATGAGACAAATAACCCATCATTCACTGTAGAGTCGCTTTTGTGCCTTGTTTAACTATCCCAGTGCAGTAGAATTAGTTTGCAGTGAAAGCCAGGTTACTACCTATGAGGATCAGGATTGTGGAGACGTTCATGATAAGCTGGGGTCCCTACAACCTCTTGTTCATTGTGTTGTCTGAATGCACCCGTGGAGTATTTTACATAGCCGAGACCCAAGCTATATGGAGAACCTCAGTCGTGAACTATGTTTCCCTTTTAAAAACGCAGGGAGGGGGTGGGGAAAGGAGAATAAAAAAATGCAGGACCCGGTATCTAAAATGAAAATATTATTCCTATACCTGAACAGAGGTCCACTTAAAAACTCCCATGCATTAGAAGGCCATATGAAGGAACCAAAGCCATGAATGCATCTAGGTTCTTTGTATATTTGCCAGGTGAGGACAATGCAGTGTAGTTCCCTCAAGCAATCTTTCAGTAAGCTTTCCTTCACAGGGCAAGTCTCCTTACAATGCAGAATTAGCTGTTAACATTGAACTCAAAGATTAAGAAAATGGCAGGTGTCTGGTGTTGACCTCTTCTTCTTCATAATATATTGTTAGATTTACCTGTATGGTTCCCTTGTATTTCCATGTAAGTTGCCAGTATACAGTATAGTATTGAATGGGGAGGGGAGTGTGTAATAACAAGTCACCACATCTCACTAAATGTTACAAGCAAATGAGAAGAATTGGATTTAGAGTTACCTAATTCCAGTAGGTTTCATTATAAAGTGACAATATTCTTACATTTCTTTGCAGGTCTTCCGTGCATAGTTGGAGAATGGAGCCACTGGAGTGGCTGTGCAGAGCAGTGTAAACCCAACTTCCGTATGCGTACACGCAGTGTACAACAGGACCCCAAAAATGGTGGGGAGCCCTGTCCTCCATTAGAAGAGAAAGCTGGCTGCCTGGAATATGCTAACTATGAGGGTCAGGATTGTGGAGAAGGTCATGGTACATGTGCATACTATCTTTTTGAATTTGTAATCATGTGGCTTAAATCCTTTAAAACAGAGTTATTTTTTACTTGAAACTGAATGTGGCAAAACAAAATGCACAGAATATACTTCAGGACTGTTACTTTTCTTTGTTCATTTATTTAAGGGAGGAAAGATCAAGGTAAGCTCCTTCAGTCATAGAAACATGGTTCTGCACAAGCTAACATAAGATGTACAGTATGTCCAGGAAGATCAGAAATTGGTCTACTTTTTAGATATTGGGTCCATTTTAGATACTGGGTCCTGTGGAGTCATAAATGCACAAAGACCTTCTATGCTTATGAAGTGCTTTAGGTAATACAGTATTCCTTATGCATATTTCCACCACCATCACAAATGCATTTGGTGGGGGCACAGGAGAGAGCCTTCTCTGTTGTTGCTCCCAAACTTTGTAACTCCCTCCCACTGGAAACCAGGCTGGTTCCATCTTTGCTATCCTTTCTCAAGCAGACCTTTCTGTTCAGGCAGGCTTTTCCTTAGATGGACCAAGAGAGGTTTTAAAATGGGATATTTTGGATTTGTGTTGCTTTTAAATAGTAATGCTTTTACCTAACATGGGTAATATAAAGTTTATTTAATATTTTTCAAGTATTTGAATATTTTACTGTTTTTAGCTTTTAATATTGTTTTTTTAATTATGTAAGTTACCTTGGGTCCTTTTTTTAAAAGGGAAAGACAGAGTAAATGTATTATAAATAAATAAATAATCACATATTTGAGGAAGGCATGGTAACTAAGTTCCATGCCATATTTCCAAGGGAAGATGGTACAGCATAGTTATAGGAGTGGTAAGAATAAAAGCATGTGGTTTTCTTCCCAAGTATGTTTATAGGCAGCTTAAGATTGAGCTAAATGCAACCATAGTAAATATGTTTTAGTAAAATACAACCAAAAAAGAGATGCTTTGAAATATTAAGCCTTGGTTGTTTATTAGGTCTAATGTTAATAACATATAGCTTTTTTGTTTGTTTATTTCTTCTTGCTGGTACCCTACTCATCCTGGCTATATATTAATTCCAGTAGCAGAAGCAGTATGTTTTTGAATGAAGGGGCTGGGAATCAGAAGGGTGTTGCATTTAATTAGCTATTGTGTGATGAGATGGTTTGGCAAGGTAGACCTTTGATCAGATCCAACAGGGCTCATGTGTTATTTGTCTTTTTCCTGTAAACTTGTCTGATGTTTTAATCCTCTAATGCCAAATTGTTTCTAGGCAGGACAGAAAACTCTCCATGCTCTCTACCTCATCTTATTTAATAGCAATGGCAGTTTCTTTGATTGACTTCCATCCTGTTACTAGATTTTATAATAATTTTTTCTTCCTAGTTCCTGCTTTCATAACTACTTCGGAATATAGCAAAGAGAGAAAAAAGAGAGCTGCAAACCCAAGATGGTCTTCAGATACAGAAGAGCCTAGGTAATTAAGGTTTTACTCCTATAGGTACTCCTCTGGGAACAAGTCTCATTGCATTCAATGGAACATACTTCTTAGTATACTTTGAGTGAACTGTTGAGTTTTTTTTTTCAAATGAAATGTGCATCTTTTCATTTGAGGAAAGTCTGTTTTATGTATAACATACAACTGAAGCTTTACATAAAGCAGACTTCATTTTAGAAAATAATATGTTCTATTATTTTAGCCTTAAGTCCTTTTGTATTTGACATGTGGCAATTTATTTTTAGTCTTCTTTTTAAAAAATTCTGACTTACTAGACACAGTAAGTTAAAATAACTTTTTAGTGAATAGATTTAAAACAACGTGAAGGAAGCTGCATCTGGGAGTAAGCAGCTATATACATATTGAACTATATTGGATTTTGTATTTTACTGTCAACTATCCAGAGTAGTGCTTTGCACTAATATATAGCAAGCAATATATAAATAACTG